TGCCGATATCCCATATGTGCGCCAGTTCTAGTCCCAGTTGCTCCTCTTCCAGTCCAGCTCTCTGCTGTGACCTGGGAAGGCAGTGGAGGATGGTCCAAATGTTTGGGCCCCTGCACCTGCATGGGAGACCAGGAGGAAGCACCTGGCTCCTGGCTTCAGATTGGCGCAGTTCCAGCCGTTGCAGCCACTTGCCACTTGGGGAGTGAACCAACGGAAGGAAGACCTCTCCCTCTCTCTCTCTCTCTCTCTCTCTCTCTCTGTAACTCTTCCTGCCAAATAAATAAATAAATAAAACTTTAAAAAAGTGGAGTGGCCAGCTCTCAAACAGCCCCATATGAGATGCCAGCACTGCAGGAGGTGGCTTTACCCACTGCTTCACAGTGCCATCCCCTCATGTATTTTTTAAAGATTTATTTGTTTATTTATTTGTTTGAGAGAGAGGAGAGAGAAAAAGAGAGAGATCACCTGTCTGCTCTGTCTGCTGATTCCTTCCCCAGACAGTCACAACCAACTAGGGCTGGGCCAGACCAGAACCAGGAACCAAGAACCAGGAACCATCCAGGTCTTCCCTGTGGTTGTCAGGGACTGAAGTACTTGAACCATCTCTGCTGTTTTCAGGCACATTAGCAGGCAGCTGGATCAGAAGCTGAGGCAGGACTTGATCCCAGATGTGCTGATAGCAAATGTGAACATCTAAAGCAGTGACTGAACCCACTGCTTCACCATGCCTGCCTTTAGAAGGATATTAAAGTCTATAAAACATGGTCTCTGACTCCTACGAGCTTACTAGTATGGGTGAGGAAGATGTACTATACATATTCAAGGGAGAAAGGACAGTAGGAAAAAGAGCAAGTCACTGGCAGACAGTCAATGGAAGGGAGGTAGGGCCAAAGGCTCTTTGGGAAAAACTGCAAGAGACTCCAGTACCTCCCAGAGTTCAGAATCTTTAACTCGGGAATTATCTCTATTCGTTCCCTACCTTATGATATCAGAAAGTACCACACCAAATCTAGTATTTGGAGAGATGTACATAATGCATTAAAGCTTAGGGCTTTCCTTGGCTTTCTTTCAGTCTGTCACTTATTTGATCCTGATTCACGCTCCCATCAATTTAGGACAATACTAGCATTAAAACAAAAATAGGGGCAGCTATTGTGGCACAGTGGATTAAGCCAGTGCTTGGGACACCAGCCTCCGATAGCAGAATGTTGGTTTGAGTTCTAGCTACTCTGCTTCTGATCCAACTTTCCACTAATATGCCTTAGAGGCAGCAGATGATGGTCCAAGTACTTGGATTCTTGCCACCCATGTAGGAGACCAGTATAGAGTTCCAGGCTCCTGGCTTCAGCCTGACTCAGCCCTGGCTATTGCAGGCATTTGGGGTGTAGAACCAGTGCATGGAAGCTGTGTGTGTGTCTGTGTGTCTGTGTTTCAAATACATACATACATACATATTTTTTAGTGGAAGTGTTATAAAGTCTCTTGAAGACCAGAAATAAGCAAAGTTTAAAAAAAATTTCTTCTGAAACAAGCTTGTCTTAAATCTAGTCTAAAACTGATTTCTTGTTTGGTGTCATCTTAGTTTAGGACCACTTTCTTTCTCACCTCCTCACTAACTGAATAACCACACAGGTAGGAAACACACTGGGCCCAGCATCAGGAGGCCTGGATTCTGGCTGCTGTGTCAACTCAGACAAGTCACTGAATTTCTGGTCCTCTGTTTGCTCAGTCACAAAGAGAAGCAGCGAGGCTCCATGGCTCCAACTCCAAAATTCTGAGACTGGAAAACCCAACCAGCCTGCCCACTGGGGCAGCCCCAGCAGGCTGATCTTTTACCTGGTGATACATAATGACTCCAGTGACAGAGCCTCAGGCAACAAGACAGTCTTCCCAAGGCCTGTGCGTGACAGGGAGCACATGCCGGGTCTCCTGGGATTGGGTCTGAGGACTCTGTGAGTCACACAGAATATATTTGCATGCCCAGCAACACTGAGTCATTGCTTGGCTCCTTAAATGAGCACAACACAGAGTTTGTGGCAGAAAAGGGATGGAGAAGCCTAATGTTGCTATTCCCTCCAATCTGTTGGTGGATTCTTTGATGAGCTCATCTCTTTTTGCCCTCTAAAGTCTGTGGTTTGTTTCTTTAGAATGCTGACCTGCCCCTCCTTCCCATTGCTTAAGAATGCTCCTGGCCTTACCATTGACCTCTCTTCTCACCAGGAGTCCAGAGGAATCCTACCCTCCCACCTTGTCTCCATTGCAGCTCGCTTGAAGCACTGCCATATGTCCATCAATAATGATGTGAAGACGCTGGTTCTCAGTGTGAGGAGGAGCTTGTCCCCTTGGGTGGTTTGGGGAGCAAATCATAATCTCTCTGGGGGCTTTTTCAAGCCACAGGAACATCCCCCCACCCCCACCCCCCACACAGATTCTGACATCTCCAGGGGGACGTTCCCACCTGCACATGGGGACTCAGTGCCCACAGCAGGGTTATCCCTTTGAGTTAGCTCTTTTGGCCCACCATGTACTGTCCCTAAATTGAGGACTCAGACAAGCAGAGAGGCAGGGGAGGAGTGATGCATGAATCTAGACCCTGGGAGTGATCCCTGACGTAGGGGCAAAAGGTTTGCATCCACATCTTGCCAAAGCCTGGGGAAGGTAGGAGTTGGAACAGTGAGAGGCAGAGAAAATGCTTGCTCGCCGGCTCCCACACACCGTGTGGCATTTTGCTGTGGGAAGCAGAGTGACAACAAGCTTGATTTGGTAGATCCTTCCTAAATTATTCACTCTGTATGGTGCCTTTTTTTCCTCCCCTTTTTCTTGGTGAACATTGGTGGGTGGAGGGGGAAGAGTTCTTACTTATTCCCAAACTGAAATATTCATCTTCCCATTGGTTTGAGGAAGACATTCGATCCTGATGTGGTTTTGAACTTTCTCAGGACAGTGTTTTTTAAAATTTGATCTGTATACACCTGGGGGTCTTACTGAAAGGTGTAGGTATAAGATGTATATAACATTCAGCATCTCCAATCAGCTCCCAAGTAATGCTAATGCCCCTGATGTGTGGGCCACACAAGGCCTGAGAAAAGGTTTGATTGCCCTCTCATTGCTGTGTGTTAATTATTTGAATCTTTAAGCCAAAGGCTACCAGAGTCACATACTCCTCCCTAGCACCCCCTAGAACCTGCGGTGTCAGTAGCCGTATTTCTCTTGGGCATTTTTACATGATCAAATGTACACAGAATCCTCTGATTTATTCTTCCGTCTGAAAACAAAAGCATGGAAACCTCCAATGGTGCATGCATGCTCCAATTTGTTTTTGGTTCAGACTCGCAAAATGTAAAGGAATTTTGCTGTATTTCCATTACTTCCCTAGCTATACTGTAGTTATCTATGGCTGTCTAACAAAGTGCCCCCCCAACACACACACACACAACATAGCTTAAAATAACATGCATTATTATCTCAGAGTTTCTGTGCACCAGGAATTCAGGAGCAGCTTAGCTTTGTGGGTTTGGCTCAGGGTCAATCATGAGGTTGCAGTCAGGAGGCTGGCCAGGGCTGCAGTCATCTGAAGGTTTGACTGGGGCTGGAGGATCCACTTCCAAGGTGGTGTACTCTCTTGGCTGTCGGCAGAAAGTTTGAGTTCCTTGCTGGCTGATGGCACCCAGAAGGCCTTGGTTCCTCACTCCTTGAACCTTTGTGTAGGGCTGGGGAAGTGTCCTCAAGCAGAGAGAGTAATCACAGAGAGAGCAATGGGGAGAAGGAAGCTTCAAGGACTTCATGACCTTGTCTGGGAGCTAGTCACTCAATTCTGCTGTACTCTGTTCTTGGAAGCCAGTCACGAAGTCCAGCCCACACTCAGAAAGAGGGGATCAGGCCTTACAGCCAACCTGTGGACATACATTTGAATCATCACAGATGCTCCCTGGCCAAGAAGCCACCTTGGAAGTGACCCATTCAGGGGCTTGATGTGCCTCATAATCTGACAGCTCCCTTTTCCACTTTTTAGGAGATCCCTGAGATCACGAACATCAGAGACCACACTCCCTGTAAAGCCATTTCAGAATGAAAAGTCATCAGTTCGTTGCACCCTGCTATATTCCATCTTGTGAAATTATATAAAGCATTTACAGAGCAAGGAAGGTCATAGAAATAGTGACTAAGAGCCAGGTTCTGGAGTCTGACAGTCTTAAATGTGGTTCCTGGCTCAGCCCCTTAGTTGCGTGTCCATGAGAAGCCACTAAGGCCTTGGCTTCTTCATCTGGAAAGGGGAGATGATAATAGCACCTGTCTCAACATGTCTGTGAGAATTAGGTAAGATGGTGTGCGTACAGAGGGTAACACTTGGCCTGGCAGGCAGCACGTGTTATGCGTGTCTTCACTTCCAGCCTCATCTGAGGTGAGAGCCTTCTGTATTTGAAGAGATACTGGCCTCATTTTTGTGCTCCTTCACCGGTGCCTCTTCTTACACTTTATTCAAATGTGGAGAGGCCTGGTTGACCTCTGCGGGCTATTTCCACATATGGACAGGTTCTCCTAACAAACAGAAGCTGAACCCCTCCCTGGGCTGGTTTCTGCACCCACCCTTCACCCTGCTTCTCAGGGAGGAACGCCAGCCAGAGCCCAAGGTGGAAAGGTGCCCACTCGCTCGCCTCTGAGGGCGTTGTTTTCTTTCCTGGCATCGCAGTGGCTGGACTGGCTCCTTCCAAGGCCAAGCACTGAGGCAACCATGCTTTGCCATGAAGTGCCATTTCTATTTTGAGCTACAGAAGGGAACTGACAAGTTGTTTTGAATTGAGCCTCAAACCAGTGCAAGTTGAAGTACTAGAAAGAGTCTCCTGGGAATTAGAAAATGTATTTGTTTGATGGTATGTTTTGAGATTTTTTTTAAAGTGGTGAAAATGTCCTGACAAAGATTTTGAGAGATGTGTATTATATATTTATGTCTTTAAAGCAATAAAAAAAACCCTTTATAGTTTGTTCTGTTTTCTCTCCAGGTATTTAGTCTTCCTACAGATCAAAAGGGATCTCTACCATGGCCGCCTCCTCTGTAAAACGTCGGATGCTGCCTTGTTAGCGGCTTATATCCTTCAAGGTAATGACTTTTGACAGGATAAATTTGCTTTTCATGCTCAGTGCTGATTACATTATTTCAGTTACCACAGATGACTACTTCTTGGATCTAAATAGTGTCTAACCTGAAGCAGAATCCATGTTAGAGGATTTCGCCTTGATTCTCTGTCTCAGAAATTACTGCACACCCAATCCTAACCTGTACTGAAGGTCTTACACCAGCCCTTGGAATAATTCTGATCCTCCGTGGAGGATTTGCCCCGCACCCTTGGTTGACAAAATTACTGAGACTCTAGGGAATCATCTGAATCAGTGTTTTCCTGTCCTTACGCACATCTTTAAGAAGTGAGGCATCTTGGACTCCTGGTGTCTATTTCAGAGATCTTTCAGTGGAGTGCTCGAAGTTGAAAGTGTTTCCAAGTAACAAGCACATTTCTTAGCGTGCTGATAAGTAAGAGTCTTATCCAGCTGATGCCCAGACTGACTTTTTTTTTTTTTTGTGAAACAATGGGAGAGGCAGGAGCTCTTCACTTATGTCCCCTTCTTTCATGAAATGAAAAGGACACTCAAGTGCCACTACCTAGATTTTGTTTGGTCCTTAGGCCTGTCATTGCCACCAGATCATTTGGACCATAGCACTAGCATTATGAAGTTTCCATCAAGGAATCTGAACTCTTAATTGGAAATGTGTGAACTCCCAGAAGCAACTCTGTGAAGAGAAATTGTAAAGTGCTTGCCAATAAGAAATAAGAGTCTTGGCCGGCGCTGTGGCTCACTAGGCTAATCCTCCACCTGCGACGCCGGCACCCCGGGTTCTAGTCCCAGTCAGGGCGCCGGATTCTGTCCCGGTTGCCCCTCTTCCAGGCCAGCTCTCTGGTGTGGCTCAGGACGGCAGTACGGCAGTGGAGGATGGCCCAAGTGCTTGGGCCCTGCACCCACATGGGAGACCAGGAGAAGCACCTGGCTCCTGGCTTCGGATCAGCGCGGTGTGCCAGCAGCAGCGCGCCAGCCACAGCGGCCATTGGGGGGTGAACCAACGGTAAAAAGGAAGACCTTTCTCTCTGTCTCTCTCTCTAACTGTCCACTCTGTCCAAAAAAAAAAAAAAGAGTCTTTCTGGCAAGAGAAATATCACAGCTGTGATAAGAATGTAAAAGTCAGGGAGGGCACTGTGGCATAGCGATTAAAGCCACCACCTGCAGTGCTGGCATCCCATACGGGCAGTGGTTCAAGTCCTGGCTTCTCCACTTCTGATCCAGTTCTCTGCTGTGGCCTGGGAAAGCAGAAGAAGGTGGCCCAAGTCCTTGGGCCCCTGCACCAGCATGGGAAAACCCAGAGGAAGCTCCTGGCTTCCAGTCAGTCGAGCTCTGATCATTGTGGCCATTTGGGGAGTGAACAAGCAGGTGGAAGATCTCTGTCTCTGCCTCTGCCTCTCTATAACTCTGCCTTTCAAATAAATAATAAATAAATCTTTTTTAAAAAACTACATCAGCAGCACTGACTTTAAAAGAAAAAAAAATGTAAACATCATAGGCAGGCATTGTGGCTTAGCAGGGTAAGCTGCGACATGGGACATACACCTTCATTTTATATCAGAGTGCCTGGTTCTAGTCTCAGCTGTTCTACACTCTGACCCAGCTTCCTGCTAGTACACTTGGAAGGCAGTACCACCCATATGGGAGACCCAAAAACAGGCTCTGGGCTTCAGTCTGGCCTAGCCTCAGCTACAGTAGATGAGGAGTGAAACAGTAGATGTAAGATCTCCCTCTGTCACTCTTTCAAATAATTTTTTAAAAGACTTATTTATTTAAAAGGCAGAGTTAAGAGAGGGAGAGACAAGATCTTCCATCTGCTGGTTCATCTCCCAAATTGCTGCAACAGCCGTGGCTGGGCCAAACCAAAGCCAGGAGCTTCTTCCAAGTCTCCCACATGGGTTCAGGGACCCAAGCACTTGGGCCATTTTCTGCTGCCTTTCCCAGGCCATTAGCAGGAAGCTAGATTGAAAGTGGAGCATCCGGGATTCAAATTGGTGCCCACATGAGATGCCAGCATTGCAGGCAACAACTTAACCCACTATACCACTATGCGAGACCCTAAATAATCTTTTTTTAAGAACAGACTGTAGGCCGGCGCTGCAGCTCACTAGGCTAATCCTCTGCCTTGCGGCGCCGGCACACCGGGTTCTAGTCCTGGTCGGGGTGCCGCACACCGGGTTCTAGTCCCGGTTGGGGCGCTGGATTCTGTCCCGGTTGCCCCTCTTCCAGGCCAGCTCTCTGCTATGGCCAGGGAGTGCAGTGGAGGATGGCCCAAGTGCTTGGGCCCTGCACCCCATGGGAGACCAGGATAAGTACCTGGCTCCTGACATTGGATCAGCACAGTGCACCGGCCGCAGCGGCCATTGGAGGGTGAACCAATGGCAAAAGGAAGACCTTTCTATCTGTCTCTCTCTCTCACTGTCCACTCTGCCTGTCAAAAAAAAAAAAAAACCAGACTGTAAAAGCCCATTGCCACTTTGACTTCTGAGACTCCTATTTTAAAAATCACTTAAATGGGAAGTCTAACAGGTGCTTGCTAATTTTAAGGTACCCCGAGATACCCCTTTCATTTCTTTTATTCAAGAGGCAAGAGGCAGAGAGATGGAAGCAGACATAAACTGACAGAGCTGCTATCCACTGATTCCCTCCCCAGATGCCTGCAATGGTCACTGCACCAAAGCCAGGAGCCAGGAACTCAAACCAGGCCTCCCCACATGAGTGGCATAGACCCAACTACTTGAGCCGTCACCTGTCACCTGCTACTTCCCAGAAGGTGTATTTTCAGGAAGCTGGGATCAGGCTCCCCAGTGTGGGATGCATGCGGCCCAGTGTCTTAACTGTTAGGCCAAATGTCCGCCCCCACTCCTTTCATTTTTAAAGAGACAGCCTGACCTAATACAAGTGTAGTTTGAAATGTTAATCTTTCCTTTAAATTTAGCCTAACAATCTTATTTTGTTCATTTTCTGTTTTTCTTTAAAGATGTACTTGACGTCCAATAATGATATTTTCTATTTGGCACTTTCTAAATAAAATCAAAATAAGTTGCTCCAAAACTCAAATGAGCCCTGACTTCAGGCTCAGGGTTTCTGCCAAGCAATAGAAATTCCCAAATAATGTGGAAGGCACAGTGAGCAGGTTCACAGTGAAGAAGCACAAGGCATGGGTACAACATGCCACCAGAGGAGGGCCCGTTTTCCTCCTCCCTAAACGTCTCACCTGCAATGGTTGTGGCTGTCATCAGGGAAGCAAAGAGGGCAACCACCAGGCAGCTGGGAGCTCCTCCTTCCCCTGGTCATTCCCAGCGAGTCCCCACGGAGCACCTCACATGGAGAAAGTAGGATTCCCACCTGGAAACAGACCAGGAGCACCTTGGGCCACTGTTGTCCCGGAGTTCACTCGTCTGAGATCTCAGCAGCTGTAGGTAGAGATGAGGTCTTCTGCAAACGGCTGGAGGAGAGCCCTGTGTCAGGCAGGGAGCTGAGAAATCAGCCTAAGGACTCGGTGCTCCTGAGCTCAGCGACGCCTTCTGGTTACAGCCATTCTTCCCTGCACCAGGTCATCCCTCCATGAATATCCAGGGGGGAATTTGACTTGCACCAAGGGGTGAGTTCAGCACTTGGATCATGGCTCATCCATCAGTTCGCTGTGTCCCTGCTAAAATCCTCCACATGAGATTTAGACTTCAGATCTGGCTCAGGTCCTAGATGCTCTGTCTTCCTGATCAACCTCACCATTTCCTGTGCTGCCACCAAGGCCTTTGTTCCCAGGTCCTCTTAGGGCTAGATGGATGAGGACCACGGTGCAGGTTTCTCCTGTCCCACTGCAAGTTTGCTTGTGGTGACCTTAGCATGGGGTCAGCCCTACTGAGGGGCCTGTCCCTAACCCAGCCCGCAGCTGTGTTCAGAACCCAGTGTTCTCTGTAAATCTGAAGTGTGCCTTGGCTTTTACCCTTGTGTGTTAATCTCTTGTTGCTTTGTGGATAATGTTTTACGCATCTCCACAATGATGAGTTACACATCTTCTGCCCTTCTTTTAAAAGCGGAAATTGGAGATTACGACCCAGGGAAACACCCTGAAGGCTACAGCTCCAAGTTCCAGTTTTTCCCTAAACACTCAGAAAAACTGGAAAGGAAAATTGCTGAGATTCACAAGACAGAACTCAGGTGAGTGACGCGTAGTTCAGGTGCAGGCCCTGGGGCTCCCCCACAGGCCCTATGCTGTGCCCTCTGCTCCCCTGGAGCATCTAGGGGGGCTCCCCCATCTCCGTGACCCTGCAATGCCCCACTCCCAGTGATCCACTGACAGCACAGCCCAGGCCCTGTGGAATTAGAGGGAGTCCCACGGGGATGAGCCTCTGAAAGGGTGCTGCAGTAAGATAAATGAAGACACAAAGGGGGAGGAGACAGACTTGGGAAAAGGAAATGGAAAACATCAAAGAGATAGCAGAAGAGAGGAAAAAAAAAAAGTGGGGATGTGAAAAACAGGCAGACTCTGCCCTCAGCCTGTGACGGGGTGACAGGTGGCTTCTGTCAGAAGACAGGCTGCACAGGGCTGTCCTGATTTCTGAGTGCCGTCGGGGGCCCTGAGAGCACTTTGCTTCGGGGCCACTGCCTGACCCAGCCCAACATCTGCAGTCCCTGGCCCTGGGCCTCCTCTTCCTCAGCTCCTCTTGGTCATGTGGAGTTTGCCGAATGCCATAAAACTGTACTGATGTAGCCCTTTGCCTAAGAGAAGTAAGGTTTTCTACAAAAATGGATTTAAAACAGCAACAATAAGGGTGTTTGGACTCTACTTTGTGGGCCACACTGGAGCAGAGTTCCCAAACTGAAAACCACAAAGGATAAGGGTATATACACTGCAGTGTTGTGAAATGTTTCATCATCATTTTAACACATTACAATTTTCTTTTTAACCTTTTAAAATGTTTGTATATCTATAATTTTGAGGAAAGTGTGATGTGCATGGAAGGTTTGTGGTTTCTTTTTTCTTAAATTTTACTTAACTGACACAGAGAGAAACAGAGCACTCGCTTTTGCCGGTTCCCTCCCCAAATGCCTGTAATGGCCAGAGCTGGCCCAAGGCCAAAGACAAGAGCCCAGAACTCAATGCAGGTCTCCCCTGAGCCCAAATACTTGAGCTATCACCAGTGCCTCCCAGGGTCTACAATTGCAGGAGGCTGCAGTCAGGGGCCAGGCATTGGACTCAGATATTCCAATGTGTCTTATTAACTGCTAGGCCAAACGCCTGCTCTGGCGGAAGATATTTCTAATGATAATTCTAAGTTTAAAGTAGTTCCTATCCTTAGCATGCCATTCCTTCTCCCAGCACACACCAAAACCAAACCTTTTCACCTTCGCACAAAAATTCTACCAACAGATGTTAGCCAGAGCCCCCTGGTCTTTGTAAACAGACGCCTTCCCCGTCATGTGTTACAGGATGCACATTGCTGCCCCTGCCAGAGGGATGGAGACACGTGTCAGAGGTGACATCTTGGATGTGTCTGCCCCTCTCCCTGCACAGAGGAGCCTTTGCAAGTTCAAAGTCCCAGGACACTTCCCATTACTATTAGGGAAATAATGACCCCTGGTGGTAAAGCTCGGAATAAACTTGGGCTTGTGTGGAACCTCTAGGTTCATTCCAAGAAGAGACCTGGGATGTGCTGGAGCTGCCAGCATGTTTTAGATGCCAGAGTAGTGGGAACAGTGCTCCCGAAACCTGGTGTAAGCAGGACCCCCCCCCCAGGAAATGATGCCCATTTTGAGAGCTCTGGAGGTTTGAGCAGACCCCAGGGGTGAATGGAGCCCACGGGGCCCATGCTCCTCCATGCACAGAATGGGTAGCTCCCTGGGAGGGGCAGTGGTGCTGTTGCCCTTCTGCCACCCTTTCCCTGCACACAGCATTTTACAAAGACCTCCCTGTGTCTCAGCTGTGCTGGGGGAAGGGAGAAGTTCAGCCTGGCCCTGAGAATGTAAAACTCTGTCTGGGTTTCCATTCTCCAGCTCTAAGGTGAGCTCCAGAGGACACAGACCCTGTACTGCTGATAGATTTCCCAGTGGGTAGCAGTAGAAGCCTGCCTGTCAGGGGGCTGACTGACCAACGCCCCTCCCCCCCGAAGAGGGACACCACGGGGCTTCTGGCCCTCAGCCCCCTTGGGTTGCCTCACCTTCCTGCCTTGCCGCATTACTTGAGACAAATGACAGGTGTAGGAATGAGCAACTTCCACTCCTGTCCTCCAGTCCTCAGAGTTGTCGACCTCAAACTGCCCACTGCTCCGCACACCAAGGCCACCCCTGCTCCTGTAGGAAGCACCTGTGCTTTGCCTGGGTTTTGGACCCGTGATGGAGCCTGATGGTGGCAGCACCGCCAGTTTCTGCCTTGAGCTCGTCAATTCACCTGCTAAAGAGCCAGCTGGGAAGGCAGTGGTGCCAGAGGCCTCCTCTTCAGATGGCTTAGAGCTGGACTGCTTCCTTCCTTTTTCTCTTGCTTCCTGTTCGTGGTCTCTGACCTATCGGCAGCCAGAGTGGCTGTGGAATGTGGGGAGCTCAGCCCTGGCCCACCTGCTTCTCCCCCACATTCCTGTGCTCTTCTGGTAAATAAGGAGGGGTGGGTGTCACAGTAGGGCATCTGGGTCCCTTCTTTGTATTCCAGTCTAGACCACAGACAAGAAACCTGTGGCCGCAACAGCCGGACTACAGATGGGTTTTGTTTGTTCCCTCAGGTGTTACACTGTAACAGAACACACCATCAGTATCTGTGACTTTTGTTTAAAATAATCACAGATTTTCACAGTTCTGGACCCTGTGTTTTCTCCTGACTATAATCTCAGAGCTAAGATACAATTGTATTTGTTAGGTGGGCAGTGCACCCCCCCCCCTTTGCCACAGTCCCCACAACTCCCTGTTTTTCACTCAGCCCAGGTGTTTCTTTACGTTGCCTGCCTCATCCTGAAGACTTTTGAGCTTTTGACTCTAAACAAGAGTCTCTAAAGGTGTCCTAGAACCAAGCGGGCAGTACATCCCTGGGAAAAACTTGGGATGTGTCTCTCCTAGAGCACTTCTTAATAGAGGGTTTACCTCAGAGGAGCCTGGGGGATAGGAAACCTGAAATCATCTTTTTTTTTTTTTTAAGATTTTATTTATTTGAAAGGGTTACAGAGAAAGGTTGGAACAGAGAGAGAGGGGTCTTCATTTGGTTCACTCCTCAAATGGCCACGATAGCTGGAGATGAGCCGATCCAAAGCCAGGAGCCAGGAGCTTCCTCTTGGTCTCCCAGGTGGGTGCAGGAGCCCAAGGACTTGGAAGGGCTTAGACCATCCTCCACTGCTTTCCCAGGCATATTAGCAGGGAGCTGGATCGAAATTGGAGCAGCTAGGAATCAAACTGGCACCCAGATGGGATGCTGGCGTTGCAGGCCAGGGCTACAACCTGCTGTACCACAGCACCAGGTCCCACCTGAAATAACCTTACTGTCTTCATTCCAGTGGCCAATCACCAGCAACATCGGAGCTGAACTTCTTAAGAAAAGCGCAGACATTGGAGACATATGGAGTGGACCCTCACCCATGCAAGGTAAGGCTTGCAGGGAGACTGTGCTGACCCTGTCTCCTCTCCCGGCCCTTTCAGTGACAGCCAGCGGAAACGTCGCACTTGGAAAACTCTGGATTCCATGCCACACACTCCTGCGGCGCCACCCCAGTGTCAGACGGTCCCAGGCAGCGTCAGTCTAAGTAACACAACTGAAACTGGGCCCCGCCATAGCAGCAGTGGGTAATGTGGTGGAAATGAAGAGAGGAGGAAGATGGCACCACCCCCCCCAACCCATAATCTGGCTTCTCTCCAACAGCCTGTTTTATGGACCACAGTGGTGGAAGCCACCACCTGGAACTGCCATGGAGTCACACTTACTTCCATTACATGAAAAGCAGTGCAGGGCCGTGGAGCTGTAGCCCATGAAAACCTCTAATCACACACATAGGTCCCGCGCTTCGTGGCCACGGCCCTCCCCCTGCAACTCCATCCCTGTTTCTTTGACCTGCCTGGTCTCTGCCTCCGTCTCCACATTTCTGCCTCTCAGCGTTAGTGGGGAGGTTCCAGTACTGCCGGTTAAACTGAACCTCGGACTGCTGTGAGAGAGACAGTATCAGCTGGGAGCAGGGTTCTTCCTGATAGGTAAAAGGACACTGTACATGTCACAGGAAGGTGAAGAGTTTAATAACTCCCTACAGCTGCCCTAACAAAGTGGCACAGCCTGGGGAGATGAAACAGCAGAAATTTGCCGTCTCACAGTTCTGGAGGCTGGAAGTCCGAGATGAACTGTGGCCAGGGTGGGTGCCTTCTGATCTGTGCCAGGCCCCTGTGCTCGCCTGTGGAAGGCATCTTCCTGAGACGTCAGTTGGTGATGACCTGATGACCTCATTTTAATTCAGTAGTCTCTGTGCAGGTGCTGTCTGCAAATAGATGACGTGCCGAGGTACTGGAGCTTAGGACTTTAGCACGTGAATTTCTGAGGGGGTCGTAGTTCAAAGTAAAAACCAAGGAACCAGTGACTTGAGGACAGACTGTTCTTTCCTTTGGACACTAGGTGAGGCGATGGTGATTTTTTTTTCTTGCCTTTGATTTAATATGAACTTCGAGAACATTCTGACACTCTTGGTTGTCCTCCCTACCCTAGCTTCTACCCTCTAGCATGGCCCTGCAAAACAACCTCCATGTTCTTGGGGCCAGTGCTGTGAGAAAACATCATGCCTGTTTCTAATAAAGAATTGATGCATAGATATTCTGGTTTAGCAAAACTCTCTATGTAACTGCCCTCTGTAGTAGATGTAGTTTAAGCCCCTCCCTCTACCAGCTGTTGAGATGTGTCACCAGGGGACTGGGCAAGATGAGAGCTTTGGGGTTGGCTGGCCCTCGACTGGCCCTGCTCTCCTACTGGGGCCTTTGAATCTTCTTTTTCTTTGTCACTATGAAAGTACCCAGTAGGTGCTCAATAACTGCACTCCCTGAACTGCTGACTCGCTGTAGGACCTTAAAATACAGAGCTGCCTACGGATAGATATGGTCATCAGAAGAAGCTGGATCAGCTCTGCATTTGACTCCAAAGCTGCCTGGTCCCTTTGAGGTCATATGTGGTTACAACTGACCAGAACTGGATGCGGAGTGGCCACTGTTGCCCACAGGGGTCTGGGAGCTGCATGTAGTGGCAGCCAGCCTGGCACCCAGCCCAAATCCATGTGCACCCCCCTCAGCCTTGTGTTGAGTAGGTTGCCCATCACAGGACACAGAAAGGCTGGAGAGGCTGCAGGGAGGAAGTGGCATTCATACCAGGCCCTGTGCAAGACTCAATCCCAGACAGCCTATCACCCAACCCCAGAGAATCAACTCCTGGCAAGAGAAGGGCGGCAGGCTGATGTTTGTGGCGCATGATCCACAGCAGCCCCGCGGAGTCCTTGCACGTTACTTTCTCATACCAACCCTGGAAGGTGGATATTATTTTATAGATAAGAAGGCTGGCATAATGGGAAGCTGAAGTTCACATGGCCCTGAGTGGTAGAGCAAAGATTTGAACTCAAGTCACTTCCCATTGTTAGGGACCCTGGGGAGACCAGAAGTTCCAGGAGAGTTACCATGCGGCGAAGGTGGGAGCAGTCATCTCATCAGGCTTCCTGAGCCCCAGGGCCCTGCTGGAGTCCTGCTGCAGACCTCAGATGTGGTCCCTCAGCTCCTCGCGTTCAGCCCTGGTCATGACTTCCTCCACCCTCCCAAGCGAAGCGAACAATGTGGGAGCCTTTACTCTTGTCATTAAGTAGAGTCACTTTGGTGATATGCTACCAAGCACTCTCCTTAATGCTGCTACAAGGAGAGCTGAAATAAGCTGGCGTACTCAGTGTAATAAATACCGATGATTTCTATTAACAGAGGCAATTACTGGGCCCAGGGAATCTGGGGCATGCAGCCCTAGGGAGGGCAGAAGAAGAGGAATCGTTTCGATAATTAAATGAGAGCAGAACAGTGCTTCAGCTGGGCTCTGTTTTCTTGGACTGATTAAGAAGCTGCTGCTCCTATTGTGTACACTGGTGGCTTCTTTCTGCCCAAAGTGGCCTTGTCTGCCCTGGGCCCAGGAAGAGGAACTCCGACAAACTCAGGCTGGGACAGCTAGAGGGCTGTATTAGCTCACTGGCTTGCAGCAATACCCATACCCTAAAGCTGCCAGTCAGACAGCTGCTGGAGGGCAAGGTGGAGCAAACTGCTGGCACCCCAGTGCTGCATCTGTTCCACAGCCCTAACCCCTCACCAGCCTCGATCCACCAGCCTGTTCTATCCAGGTGTGCTGAGCCTGGTTGTCTGTCCTGACTCTCCTGCAAGCCCAGACTGTGGCGCCTTGGACCCTACTAACGAGGCTGCCCTGTTAAAGTTCCTGGAGCACTTAGACCAGTCGAGGCACCCAGCTGGTATCCGGCATTCTTATCGTGAGTCTTGAAAGTGCATTTACTGAGAATGTGCATGGACCAAGCACTTACATACATCATCTTGTGTATTCTTTATATCATCACTGTACCATCCTCATTTTATAATAAGAGTGCTGAGCCCTTGAAGGTACAGATAAGGATAGATAACAGGGACATAAGAAGTCCCCTCTGAGTATGAACTAACATGCCCAACTAACGTGGTGAGGACAGCCCTGAAACTTGGACTTAGAGTTGTCTGTCTCCACGCTATGCTTTTTCAGTTACCATTTATGGTCCCCCTCCTGGGGAGACGGCATCTATTTAGGAACCAAGCATGCCTCACTGCCAATTCTGATGAAGAGGACACAGACCTAGGAGATTACTGGAATCATCATATAAAAATATAAGTTTACCAGTGTGTTCTGCTGTGTGTAGACTAGGAAAAAATTGATTTCAACAGGATCTAGGTAAGATCAACCACCAAAAATAAAATTGCACTATTTTTTCCTCTAGCCCCAAAAGAGGACCATTACTTTCATTATGTAGCCACCTAACCTCCTCTCTGCATAAGAACTTCTTCCTCCATCTTGGCTGGTTGCTTCTGACTCGAGAAAACTAGAATAAGAAAGATCAGAAGTGACTCTCCCATAAGCGAGCCTCTCTTGGTTGTGCTATAAGGCATTGGGTTCGCTGCTGAAATGAAGAATTTGACCAAAGGCACTCAGATGGATCCATTTCCAAGGTGTCAGGGAGCAGCACCAAGCCTCCTGTGGTGCATGGCCTCTTCTTCCATTTCCATCCTAGTTTCTTGTGGCCAAGTTTAAGTTTATTGAAACTGGGTAGTTTTCATAACTGACTGAAGGCTCCTAACCATGGGCTCTTTCAGAAATGGGCCTAGGTGTGTTATAACACATGGAATCATCTTCTCTAAGACCCCTTAAGAATGGTAGAGGCTTCATCTACTACGATTGAATTAGTTTGAGTCATGCCCCCAAGTAGGGGACAGGATGACCCTGAAAACCCAACCACTAAGTGCAGTGGTCCCGACTCATCCTACCCAAGATGTTTGTCCAAGTGGTAGCAGATAGGAGCCTGCTTGGCTTGTATCTCCGGGTGGAACCTGGGAGCTTGGGCAGGGATGCCTAGATGTTCCTGCTTGTAAAAACCATCAATGCTCTGAGGCCCCAGAATCCTCCTCTGGTCAGAATGACGATCTCAGGGTGAACATTTGGTGGTGCTGAATTGAGGCAGGTCCAGTTTGCTGGTGGGTTCCACTGGAACATGTGAATAAATGCAGATCATCCTTCCCCAAGAACGCAGCTGGCCATGCCCTGGCAGTGAGGCATTCAGGCCATCTCCCTAAAGTCAGATGGAATTATTATTTCTCGAAGTTTTTATGATCATCATTTTATGAATGAGAAATCTGAGGTTTGGAGAAGTTAAGTCATAATGCAAGTAAGTAGAGCTGGGGTGCTAAGCTGCGACTGACACTTTTTTTTTTCTATTTATTTTATTTGAAAGGCAGAGTTACAGAGGAGAGAGGGAGGGAGGAAGAGAGAGGATCTTCCATCCACTAGTTCACTCCCCAAATGGCCCCAGTGGCCAGAGCTAAGCTGATTCCAAACCAGGAGCCAGGAGCTTCTTCTGGGTCTCCCACGTGGGTGCAGGGGCCCAAGCACCTGGGCCATCTTCTGCTGTTTCCCCAGGTCATTGACAGGAAGCTAGATTGGAAATGAAGCAGCGGGACTTGAACTGGCACCCATATGAGATGCCGGCTTTGCAAGCAGATGCTTTACCCACTACACCACAGTGCTGGCCCCACAACTGACACTCTACACAAAGGTGAAAAGTTGAAAGCAGTATTTTGTTTGCCTCACAGCCGAGGAAGGGAACTGGATTCTTTGCTCTCTGCTGTAGAGTGAGGCTGGCATCGGGCCATACCTGCAGGGAATCTGTCAGGTGGGAGTTTTTATCCCACCTCCCAGACCCGTTAGTGCCTCGGTCCTCCAAGTCCTGATTTCATGGAACTGGGGGTGGGGGGGTCGGGGGATGAGACAGGGAGGTGGAAGAGCTGAGGAGCAGGTGAGTGCTGCCACTTCTCTCCTCCACCTCATTCCTTTCTAT